GAAACGTCAAGAGAAAAGTGCTAATAAGTGACAGGGGTCACCTGTCCTCTGTCCTTCTCTTTGGGACTCTAGACCATGAAGTCCTAGCTGTCTTGGTAGTTCCTTGACACTTGTAAATAGGTGTGTGTGTATGTGTGTGTGTGTGTGTGTGTGTGTGTGTGTATGTGTGCATGTTTATGTGTTCAGCTTTTCTAGTTGTCACTGGGAGGATAGGCTTTTAGTAAATTAGTCTGTTACTGGAAATGCAAAACCTTCTGTTTACTTTTATAGGAATCTTCAAGCTTATGAGAATTTTAAAACAGCCAATAATGTTTTAAGTGCCATTCTAGTTAAAGTCAAGCATCACTTAATGAGGAGGATCTGTCTGAGATATACATTGTTAAGCAGTTTTCATCACCTGTGAACACCATATAGCCCGTATACCTACACAGGCTAAGATGGTTATGATGTCCCTAGGCAATATAGTCTGTTGGGACTACCATTGTATGTGACTCTTCTGTGGGAAAGATCGTTGAGCAGTGCACCAACTGTATTATGACCGTAGAGATGGAGGAAATGGCATCTGTTTTTGGAGATTTCCAGGGGTTTTCCAGGAGTGTCTACAAGGTCACCATAAGGCAGAAGGATGTTTGGGTGCTGAGAAATCATGAGAGAGAACAGGATGGAGTGGGCAGAAAGATCATGTGTTTGGAAAACAAAAAATACTGAGGCCTCTTTAAAAAACACTTTGAGGATTTTCCCTAAAGCATGTATCTGACTGAATCCTAACTGCTTATTTGCTGACCTTCTGTGTCATTTGAAAATTTAAAGTGAGGCCAACCCTTCCTGTTTTCATTTAATTTGCCACTGTTGCTGCTGGTGAGCTCAGGAAGAGGAAAACCCTTCATTTTTTTTTATTCATATGTGCATACAATGTTTGGGTCATTTCTCCCCCCTTCCCCCTGCCCCCTCCCTCTCCCTACCCCCTTGCTACCAGGCAGAAACTATTTTGCCCTTATCTCTAATTTTGTTGAAGAGAGAGTATAAAAAACCCTTCATTTTTTACTGGGAAAAGCAGCTGTGGGGTAGGTTCCTAAGTCATCTGGCTGGATAGCAGGTACTCCAGTGCTCAGGTCTAACTTACTTAGAGTCAGAGTGAGCGGTGGGACAGAGTCACCTTGATGTTATCACCCTTTGGGCAGGTAGATGGTCCCCTTCTTTCCATCCCACTTCCATGTCCTGTACAGACCCTCATTGTCTTTCTCCTTAATTCCATCCCAACCTCTTCTCCCCAGTCTTATTTCATCAGTCTATTTCCATACTACAACTAAAGAGAGATCTTTCTAGAATATTCTTAACTTCCTCCCAGTTCTTTATTGCTTTTAGAATAATGCAAGGGCACCTGGATCTGACTTCTGCATGAACCTTCTCTCCCCAGCTCCTGCCCACAGCCTGACTTTCCTGCCTCTGGGAGTCATGTGCCACCCAGCAGACACCCCATGCCCTCTGCACACTGCTGTGTCTCCCTCTGCTGTCTGACCATTGTAATCCAGAGGACCTCCTCTGGGAAGCCTGCCAGCCCTGTGTGGATCAGGGGTCTTTGCTTTTTGTCCCCAAAGCATCCTCTGTCTCATGCATGTTGTACTGCACTGTCATCACTTGCTTTTTCCCCAGAGACTAATAATTCCCTGATGGTCTTTCATGTCCGTCTCCTTGTGGCCTGGCATGAAGTAAGCACCCAATAAATTCCAAATGGAACATATGTTAGGTTCCCTTAAAACCTCAGCCACTGCTAATTCTGCTGTCAGTCTGGGTATTCTCTGGGGAGAGTGGGAGCTCCTTCAATTTTCAAAGCAGGAGACTCTTGTAGGTTTTAATCAGAAAGGTAGATTCTGGCCTTCCAGTCGGTCAGAATAGAGTATGTTCAGCTTTAGAAGTTTCTGTTTGTAGTGCTTTTTTTAAGTAGTAAAATTTCAGGAACTCTGGTCTATGCCAGAGCCCTAGGCCTCTATCCTGAGGAGTTCCTCCACTTAACTGTTTCACTGAATAGAAGGAAACTGTACTTCCAAAAATGACAAGGAAACCACTAAATGGCACTGCTACTTTCCCTCTGCAGCTCCACAAAAACAAGCACAGTATGGAAGGTTGGGAAAGACTGTCTTTTTGATGGGGTCAGCCTGTTTCTAATCGCTGTACCCTCTGCCTCAGCTCACTGCTCAGTGTGGTTTGAGTTCCTGTCTGCCATGAGCTACTGAGACATGTAATAAGAAGCTGCTTTGCAAGCTCCTTAATTAAAGCAGGTTCATGTAATCATTGCCAGAGAGCACCACATACCCTCCTAGATGTCAAAATTCATTAGTCATCCAAATCAGATGCAGTGAAACCCAGGTTTTCTTCACAGCAGTTACAGCCTGGGTAGCTACGCACTGAGAAATGACCCTCTTTCCTAGTTATCTGTCACTCATTCACCTTCATCCTAATGTGTGGGATGTTTCTCTTCCCCTTTGAGATATATACTGTTAAGTAAACAAGCAATTTTTTTAGGGTGATGCCAGAATCTAGTGTGGTTAGAATGATTTTTAAATACTATTTTATGGACAACAAAGGAAGAATTTTTGTCCCTGGCTCTGAAGAAGCCTGGCTGCACTGCATTATTAGTTTTGGGATAGAAGGCGGTCTGTCTGAGCTCTGTAAAGTGGGGCAATAATCTCCCACCTCAGTATTGTGAAGAGCAGGAGAGACAATGTCTGTGAAGAGCTTAGCCCAGTCCATGCAATGTATCTGGCAGCCAAGAAATGGGAAGTCACTGTCACCTCCACTCTCATCTTCACCTGCCCCAGAATCAGTGTCATCGGTGACTTATTTTGACATGAAGGGTTTTTAATGCAAAACCTTAAAATAGTCAGACTTAAAGAAACACAAAGAATTTATTTTGTGAACATGTCCAGATTGCATTCATTCGTTCATCATTCTCCATACCACCAACCATCACTAAACTCTGGTTAGCAGAGTCAGCTGGCAGAAGGATCTGGATCCCCAGCATGTGCCTTGTTCCTGGAAGGTCACATGTCTTAAATCTCTGTTCCTAAAGTTTGAGTTCTAAAGGACTTTCTGGAAACAGTTTATAAAACGTTCTTCCATTACTCCCCTGGAGAGTTCCTGTATTTTGTTTATGCTGAATAGTTGAAACTATTCCCACATGAATGCTGAAAAAAATATATAAATTATCTGCTAGTCATAGGCATCTATGCTCCTTTGCCCTGTCCTCCCTCCCCACAGCTTAGCAGTTGTGAGCACTGCCACAGTTGCCTCCCATCCTGTGCCTCTCAGCCCACCAGCTCCTCTCCTGGGCTATTGTTGTAGCTTTCTAACCTGCCCTGCAGCTTCCCTGAGTGTGTTTTGCTCAGCTCTGAGAAAGCACAGTTCTAAGAGTTAATGAATCTGGGGCCACATCCCCTTTTCAGAGGCAACTAAAGTAAAACAGAATCAACAAACAAAAGCAAATAAAATCCCCTTCAGCTTGAGGTGTGTGTTTCTGTCTGTTCCCCCAGGCCCCAGTACACACATATTTAACCATAGACTCTTTACTCCACTCACAGGGAACTGAGGTTCATAGCACCCTTCTAAAGAATGCATAGTTTGTGGGTAAGTTGACAAGCTGCTTCTCCTTCATTTTAAGGGGCTTTGAGCCCAAACATAGTTAAGTAAGGGCATCCCTGTGGTGACATGCTGCATGTCATTTACAAAGACAGGACTGAAGACACCTTAAGGAAGAGGGTGCAGTGTAAGATGAGCTAAGCTGCTACTTCCCTATGTACACTACGTGAACACCCAGGTACCCCAAAGGGCAGGCATGACTCATTCTGGGGAAAGGAACTGGTTATCTGAGAGAGTTGGGAGAAGATTATGTTCTGGGTGCCTCCTGGGATCTTTAGAATGTTCTACCACTTAAATACAAAGGGTCTCTGTTCCTAAATCCTCCAGACTTCAACAGAGAGTAGTGTGAACTCCTTGTCTGTTTGCCCAGGCTGTGAGGTTGGCCACTGAGGCCTGCCTATCATCTCTGCTCAGCATGCCACTCTCACTTCCCCCTGCCACTACCCCTGTCTCCCCATGGCTGAGGCAGAGCAGAGGAGATTTGGTTATTGGTGCTTTCATTTGTTGCTTCTCAGACTTTTTCTGCTGGGGCAGCCTACCCCCATAGAGCATGCTGTCCCTATATGCAGGACTACTGACCAGTTTTACCCCTGCCTCTAACGCTCACCTGTGAGGCAGTGACACTGTGTAGAAAGGCCAAGAACTCCATGATTGGACAGATGCAACTCAAGATCCTTAACAGCCATGTGCCCTGGGTTGCTTATCCTTATACTTCCTATTCATTTCCCCAGGTCACAAGGCTGTGTTGTTTGTTTCTCTAGAACATCTCGCACAGATCTAGCATCTTATAAGAGAGTGTGTGCTCTCTTCCCTTCCCCTCTTTTCTCACTGTGATTATCAGTCTACATTTCCTTGGGTCTTGAAGTCCTTAGGCTCCAGAGGACAGAGCACAAAGCCAGAAGTCATACTTTCATCCCCGGCTCCACTAATGACTAACCCTGGGGGGACCCCTCAGTGTCCTTAGGTCCTGTGCCCTAACACAAAATCCATAATGTCAGTGCAAAGGAGCTTTGATCATCAACATGTTCTGGAAGCAGAGAGCTACCAGTGAGTGCAGATGGTCTCCCAGTCACCAGCTGGCTTCTAAGAAGTTTGGAAGATTAGAAAAGTAATGTCTTCCATATACTCAGGAGAATATGATTTAGTTCCATGAAAGGTAGAATAGAAAAACTCCACCCATTCACAGTGATAAGCTGTTAATGGAACAAGCTGATGAACTGTTCCAGCCTGGCTTCCATCATCTAAAGGATGAGAGCAAGGATGATGGGATCACCTGAAGCAAGCCACGTGGAAGGTCTTTGTCAGCTGTGACTAGGGCATAAGGGCAGCCTTATGGTTAATATCCTGTGTGTTTGTTTTTACAGCAAAGGGTACGAGACGTCATCAGCCCCATCGTGTTTGAAGCTGCCTACAGCCTTGGTGCACATGTAACTGGTGAGGAGGAGCGGGAGTTGCCGACTCTGACACCAGTGCTGCGCTGGAAGAAGGGACAAAAGATTGCTCAGAAGAATCAGGTCAGAACCCAAAAACTCACAACTGGGACACAATGTACAGGTGCACATGACAGAAATAATAGCTAGTGCATATCCCCCTTTCTCAGCCTTCCTTTCCTGATTGTAAAATGATGAGATAGATTATCTGATTGTTTCTGACTATCAGGAGATACAAGCACATCCAGACCTTTCTCACGTTGTTAGAAAACTGCAATCCCTATAGGATCGGGAACTGACCACTTGGCTCTCAAACTTGTTGCCTGTTCCTGACTGTTACCAGAGCTTAGATTGGCACACAGTAGGTGCTCAGAAAGTATTTTATTGGTAGGGAAATAGTGTAATGAAGAAGCAAGAGCTAAGTGTCCCTACAAGCCAGAGCATGGTGGCAAGTATAGGTGGGGGCCCTGTCCTGGGACATACTTCTTGGATTCTGAGACATGCTGCTGTATAGAGGAGCTTTGGAGTAATACTGGGTGCAGGACATACAGGGCAGGAGAGTGCATGTGAGCTGACTGTGCAGCAGAGTGGCCTGTCTGTCTTAAGTCATCTGAGATGTACCACACTGATTACCAGGCAGGAAATCTGCAAGGAATCTGAGATCCCAAGTCTATTTTAAATCTTTCCCTAAAATTCCAAATAAGTACAGATCCAAGACCCTGGGGAAGATCAGAAAAATCTTATTTTTGACTAAACCAGACCCATGGGGAGGGGAGCAACAGAGCTGTGGGACCACCTGCTGACCCCACCATCCATAGTTCTTCAGACTGCCCTAAACAGAGAGAATCATAGCAGATCAGTGACCCATGCCTTGCAGATTAAAGTTTTAAACAGAGCCACAGGGGAAGTGTTTGAGTTTTGAAATGTCCATTTAAGTAAGTGATGAGATTTTTTTTTTAACCAAGACGTCTTCATTTTCTCCCAGAGTATCTCCCATATTGTCTTGGGTCAGGTTTCAAGTAGTAGAACCTGAGATGGGGATTTGAGAATACACGGTCTAATAGGGCTGTGCTCTTGGGAAACCCTGTAAAAGAAGGACAAGGGGCTGAGCAAGAATGTGGTTTCTGCTGATACTTAGCTGGGAGACCCAGGAGCATAAACGATACCAGAGAATTGACCTCTACTTAAGGCACAGAGGCTGGCCTTTCATGCTCCATATTATTCAGCCATTGGCTGGCTGTGGGGTGTGAAAGGCGAGCATTGTCTTCCCAAAGGATGCAAGTGGAGCCATCAGCTGGGAAGGGCCCACAGTTGTCAGTGCTCACTGTGTGCATATACCCAAACCTGGGACTACTGCCTTTTGTGATGATACTTTAGATTTAAAACATGGGCTTCTTTGAAAGCACAAGTGCCTGGAGAAGACCTGACCTTAGGGTGAAGTATGAAGAAGGCAAGGAGAAGAGGAGAGGGAGATAAGATGATTCTGTGTGGAGAATTAGAAATTAATGTCCTCCCCTGGCAGTGAAATGAGAAATCAGACTGGGGACCCAATAAATCATAGTATTCAGATAATTTGTACATAATGAATCCCCATGCCTACAATTACTCCACTTTCTAAAGTGAAAGCTTGCTGGCCAGAAAAACATACCCATATTGTGTAATAGAAGATGTCACTTGGGGTATCAGAACTTATTTCAGAGTCCTCTGTGGTTGTACTACTGAACTGACCTAGGGTGTGAGTTGCTTACTCTGTTCCACATCTTGCTAGCTCTGGGAAGACCTTCCACAGTGAACCCAACTGTCATTCTTACAAGTTCATCAGGGGCACAGAAGTGGACATTATTTAATGAACAGCATATTATAATCTTTACTAACATCTTTAGATCAAACAGCCTGATTCAAGCTGGAACAGGTTAGTATCAAAATGATGTTCTTGGTCACTTCAGGTTCAAGATGGCTGACCAAACACAAATGTTTATATTTTCACCTCCTGAGACGCCATTGCAATGGGGGAAGCAGGCATTAGCTAACAAGAGAGCCTGTTTTTCTGGAGTGAGTGAAGAAGATGGAAGAGTGTTGGTGAATGAACTTGAACCATACATAGAGAGGCTGGGTACTCGTCTATTTGACAGAGAAGCTAAACCCTAGCCAGGCAGGAGTTACAGAGATGGCAAGAGTGAGGAGTGAGACTGAAAATGGGGTCTGCTAGAGTGTTCAGTGAAGGTTTGATATGTGGAGTTGTTGTCCATCCCTGTTCCCACCTCTGCACATTGCAGGCATGCTGATTAGCAAGCAGCCAGGCATTCTACTCACTTGTTCCCTGAAGAGCTGAATAAATAGTTTGAGCTGGTTAGATAAATTACATAAGCTAGTTCCCCAGAGGAAAGCCTTTCTTCTGGTATTTGAAGTCCTCAACATAAGAGCTAGCTTTCCTCTTGTCATCTAGCCAAACGCTTCCATCTCTTTTACTTTATCATTAAATATGAGTGGACAGCCAAGGAAAACTAAAATTGGAGGAAATGTGGTACATGAAAAGAAAGACCAATATAAATCTAAATAAACATAACTGACTTAGAAGGAAGTGTTATTCAGGTAACAAAAGAGATTATAAATTTTTGATTTGCTATTTGTTTTTTGAGACAGGGTCTCACGATTTAGCCCAGGCTGGTCTTCAACATGAGATACTCTTGTCTCAGCCTTCTAAGTGCTGGGATTAGAGGTTTTTGCTACCACACCCAGCTTCAGATAATAAAAATTTTTAAAAAGAAATTCTATATAGTAAACAAAAAACTTGAAAATATATTTAATTCAATATTATGTGGAAAGGATTCTATTTCTTTTCAAAGAAAGAGGAGAATCAGAGAACAAGGAAAGTGTTCCAGAAAATTAAAATTGTGATTACAGAGCCAAATATTAGGTGAAAGGATTAAAGATAATGGTAAGAAATAACCCATTAAGAGGCAAATAGTAAAAGAAAGCTTAAGGATACATCTACAAGGTTCTATATCCCAGTAATAATACCAGAAGTAAAAAGACAAACTAAAAGAGAAATTATAAAAGAAATAATAGAATAAGATTTCCCAAAGTTTTTTAATTTAAGAGGCCTACCAACTTGCAAGCAAGATGAACCTGAATTATTATATACCTATCACTTTGAACTGTCACTTCTCCCAAGACTGAAGGAAATTTCTAAATGTTTCCAGGTCAGAGAATGCAGCATGGAGATAATGGGGAGTCTCTATCAGCTAACAACAATCTGAGAGTCAGACTGATTAATCCGTTTGACAGTAAGATTAGATTAGATTAACCTGTTTGATTTGTTAGTAAGATTAGATTAGATTAATCTGTTTGACTGTTAGTAAGATTAGATGATGAAATAAATGGCTTCAAAGCTCCAAGGGGAAGTGAGTTCAGAACTAGGATTTTATTTTTAATCTAACAGTCAAGTGTGATGTAAACTACAGTCACTTTTCAAACAAGCAAAGACCTGGAAAGTTTACCTCCCTAGTAATCCTTCCAAGGACACTATCTGAAGTGTACGCCAACAAAACAAGGTGACAAGCAGCAAGGCATGGAGCACAGAGGCTCTGGAACGCCAACAAATCTAATGACAAGAAATCCCAGGATGACAGCTCTACAGCAAGTCCAACAGTTGATTCAGTTTAGAAAAGGGAATCAGTGAACTTCCAGAAGAATGGAGCCAAGCAATAGGCAAAATGACAAAGTGGCAAATATTCAGAATATGTGTATTTTGAATATTTTTCTTCTATGCCTTTATTAGGCAACCAAAAGTCCTGGAAAATAGAAATATGGTCAGTATGCCAGAGTACAAATATAAAACTAAGAAAAATGTGGGATTTTGAGTGAGTAATAGAGTGCAGGTAAGAAAAGGACCTTGATAGTAGAACATTGTCCCTTCAGTGGAAGTCAAATATACCCAGACTTTGATATTGCCTGCATGGAGGAAGATTCATAATGATGACAGATGCCTTGGCTCTGCTGTCAAAAATTGTCATTAACCATAATAACTAATTAATATAATAACTAATGTAATAACTAGGTAATAATTGTGCTAATGCACACACACACTTTATTGGTTTTTAGTCTACCATCAAGACAAAATTAGTGCTTTGGCAATTGTATACAATATACATGCCATTAAATTTTACTGAATAGAGGTAAACAAAGAATGACACAAGTTCTCTTAACATCTTAATCTTTTAAATTGGTAAGGTGAGATGTTGCAAAATGTGATGAAACCAAAATAGCTATTATTACTTAAGATTACAGAGCTCACCAGCAATCTATGTTTAACAGGCTGACCAGTTATTCTAATTCAGCTAAAGTTTGAGAACCACTGTAGTGGCAGCTCCAAAAGTAGTGAATTACCTGTCAAAATTAGGAAGGGGAAGAAGGAAGAAGACATGTGTGATATAAATTCTTATCTATTATGACAGGAATTCAGTAAGATAATGTCTAAATCTGGTAAACCAAGGAGTAGTTTTGACAGCATGTTTTCTAGAGATATGGAAATAATCATCAAAATAAACATAAACAGACACTGGTAATAATGGTTTCCCCTTGAGAGAAGGACTCAATTTGGGAGGTGTGTGGTAGTGTGTATGGGGGGAAACTATTATTTTTTTAACAATGTAACTCTTTGGTTGAAGTTTAAATAAGAGAGAAATACTGTTCTTAGATTGGAAACATTGTCTAGGAGCCTGAGAAAATTTCTGGGAGACCAGTTCTTGCTTATTTTCCTTTTCCTGATTATGATTTTAAAAGACGATAATTTAATGATATTCCTCCATGATTTCTCCAGGTGTCTCCCAGATGTTGGCTCAGTTTTAGGTAAAGAACAATTAAGAACTAGGTTCACTTCAGGAGCTGTAGAGCCAGCTATATTGCCACAAGCTCAAATGTACACAAATGGTAAATGAATCCTCCTTCTTTGTTCCATCCCCCCTGCACCTCATTCCCCCAAATCAGGCTACCTCACTTATTACCTAGACTGTGTATAACACCTATGTCACTGCATAACCCTCTCCATAACTTTCTTCTTGATAAAGTCCATTAACCTCTGT